TTAGAAATCGATTTTGTGCATAATTTTGTACTTTTGGATTGTATACTTTTGAAGTGTATGTTAGTTTCGAGCTCTTACAAAATTTTCGATACGTATTCCTTCACATCTTCCAATATTAAACTCTCGTTTGTTGTTTCCTTACAACGGGTTTTACGACAAGCGACAGTTTCAAGTTGAGTACAAAAGCTTTCGTAGAAAGAAAATTGAACTAAAATGTGTCAGAAGTCAGGAGCATTATAAACAAATAACAAAAAAGTGTTTTCAAGTAATATTTACTTACTAAAGTTGTTTTACTGAAATACAAGACATTGTGTTTAAAAATTCTTATTCATATTTAATGTGAGAGCTTGCACCTCTTATTTAGTGATGCCACAAAATACATGAAAAATGACAATCCACTAGAAAACAACATTTGAAAATAAATCTTGAGTATAATAAAAAAGCTAAAAATAATACTTTCGTGATTTATTTTCTATCTTGTGAATACTGGCACATCTAAATAACTGCATTTTTTCTTTTTCTGTGTAAGGGTATTGAGAGAATGGTTCAATCTTCTGTACATTAAAATAATTAACAATATTGTGAATCATACTTTTCATGAGGTTACGTAAATAACGCTTTTTCTTTTTTCTGTTAAAGTCAACAGATGTCCACTGCTGTAAAAGTAATAATGTTTCTTTATGAGCTTGACAAATCTTTTCACTACGCGGACTGGCGTGTTCATCTTTCATGATAAGGTTTTGAGAGCCGCAGCTGTGATCCGTGTAATTTATTTTTTGAACGCTTGTACTTTTGCAAGCTGTATGAGTGGTGCACCGGCATTGAAGTGACTTTTCTTTTTTCACTGGTGGTACTTTGCCTACTTGAACGTGTTGAGAGCGCAAATTTTGACTTCTAATTGCCTTTAAATTACTTTCCAAATCGGTCGTATCAATGGCAGTCTCTTTTCGCCTTGGTGTAGGCAAGGGAGCAATAGTTTCGGTTGATTTTTTCTCAATATCATTACCTGGAGGCTTATTAATTTCGATTTTGAATAGCCGTTTTTGAATGGCTTCCAGTAGCTCGTTAGAGGGATCATTTACTAGATGCGCTACCCCCCAGAGATATCCAGACATAATAGCTTTAGTAAAATAGTACTACGATAAATCTTTTAATATTTACTTTGAAAATTAAATGAAAACGAATTTCAAAAACAATTACTTTACTGTATACATTAATTTTGAAATATGTCACATGTCAACAAAGAGTACGAAACTGTAATAAATAAGAATTGAAGTAGGTAAATAACAATGACAGTTCTCCTAGAGAAAGTAACTACATATCTTTTGAGGGGGGCAGGCATTGACCTCTAATTGAATACGCGTTTGTCTATAGAGGAAAGCAGGGGGGAAGGTCACTGAGGTATTTCGTTCTAATTTCGTGGCTTCGATATCTTAGTTTTACTTTACTGTTTGTTTTATTTTTAAAAATTCCAGACATAAATATTGATCCTCAATACATCTGAGAATTTAAACTTGTGTATTTTAATTCGTTTTATACATTTAGAGCGATTTACAAATGGGTCAGCTTAAAGTGATCGATTTGAGTTGGAGTTGTATTCCCCGAAGCACGATTAGAATTGGAAATCTGTTTTATTGGAGTTTCTCGAGCTAATAAAACTATTAGCTGACAATACCATTTTGTATTGATTCTTAATGAATTTCGACTGTCACGGGACCATTTTAAATATTTTAACAAATTATTGATTATAATAAAACTGAAATAGAATAATTTTATTACAAGAAAAGTGTTAAAGGTATTTACCGCTATTTGGTATGTTTACAAATATGTATAAATTTAATTAAATATAATGAAAGTAAAACTTAAAGAGAATTACTATTCGTCGACAATTAAAATAATTTCTTTTCGATGTATTTATCAAATATGTGTTATAATCACAACATTCCACATAAAAAGAACGAAATAAGAATAACATCAAGATTCTCAAAAATTTATATTAGTATCATACTTGCCGTGAAACATAAGATATGTACATTTTATTTTCTTTTATTTGTGCTAAATTATATGGCTGGTACTGTGCGGTTTTGTGTTATCTCTGTTAGTTACCTAACGATATGTTTAAAAGTAATCACCCTTAACTTAGGGTAGGCTCCGAGCCCCTCGGTGGGGACGTATAGTGAGCTGATGATGATGATGTGTAAAAGGAAGGGTTTTAAGTGTGAATTAAACAAAAAATTACAGAAAGACAACACAAATTTACATGTTTTACTCTTTTGTATACAAGATCCATAGATGCCAAGAATCCAAGACTCACTTTGCGTTACTTTATTGAAGTGACTGTCTATGAACCTGTGATTTTTTTGACATTATTTTCTTCAAAAAATATCTGATTAAGCTTGTAATCTCGTATCCTCGTGAGTTCTTAATCAAGGTAAAGCTCTTGTATCTTTTACTAAATGAGTTAGTCTCTAATTTTAAGAGGGATTATAGATTTTGGTGGTGAATTAAGTGCTTCGGAACGGTAATAGTTGGACGAAGCAAGATAGATAATTGCTACCAGAGCTTAAGCGACTTTGCTAAAATTTCTAATTAAAAGTTTGTTTTCCTGATCATCACTATTACTAGAAATTAGAAAAATTTGTAAATAAAAATATTATATTATATATATGTGATTTACTAATAAATACATCTCGAGAATATTTGACGATGCTTTTTGTTTGTTAATTGATGTTTGTCGTTTGTTGTCAAAATTGTACACGAAATTGAAATCGCTTCACCAATTAAAATTAAAAACGGATGTATCAAAATGAAAAATGCGAAATCTATACGGATAGGCTCTACTGACAACCAATTTGTTTTTTTAATTAAATTACAATTCTGTCGAAAGCTTCTCGATTTATTGCTTCATTTCCTTATAGGTTAAGTTAAAAAAAAAACATTTATTTAGAAACGGGTTTATGTAACAAAAAATGTTTCTATTACTCAATATAATTAGTTATCAACTTAGTATATCTTACTAATATTATAAATAAGAATGTTTGGATGGATGGATGTTTGTTTAAAAGTAGCTCCAGAACGGCTGAACGGATCGCGATGAAAGTTACATACACATAGAACATCGTCTGCAAGAAAACATAGGGTACTAATTAAGTTTTATTTTAATACCGCGCGGACAGAGTCGCGGGGGACAGCTAGTGTTAAATAAATTGCATGTCAACGGGAACAAGATCATTTTTCAAAAAGCACCAAATAAGCGAAAATCGTTAAGGAAAAAAATGTGTTACATATTTTTTGTTTTGTTTATGTATTCGCTTTAGCTTTACGCTTTTTGTGTCGTGGGCTGCATAGTTAAGATATTTATTTTATACAATGATATTGTAAACGATGTTTGTAGGTAAGTATACTTCAAGTTACAGCTTAGGTATCAAGGTCTAGATTAGTTTATAGAGTTTATGTTGTTATCTGTCACGTACAAGGTATAACGACTTTCCCCCAATACTTAGTTTCTAGAGGTTCTTGTAGGATTAGTCTGTTATTATTGGTAACAACTATTATCATATATTACTTTTACTTATATACATAAGTTATAAAGTGTATATCTTAAGTTACATCCACATAGTTAATAATAAAGTATAGAACCGAATACTTGTGTCAAAATGAAGTATTAATTTGATCCTTAATTAAGTTAAATTGAAATTAAGTTAAATCTTAAATAATGTATTTAAGACAAAGGTTTTAAGGAATAAATTAAAATACTCGTATGACATCAAAATCATGCTTATAATGGTGAATAAAATATTAGAATTTGATGGGGTATTTATAAAGCTCTGGAAGATGAAGGGAAAAGCGAGTTAGCTTGGCCTTCAAATAAGTTATTCTTATGAGTAATTTATAGAGGATTTGGCAAGTCGCCATCGCGTAAACCACTTGATGGATGGATGCTTCTTTAAGGCAGTGCTCTTGAATAGCAACTGTTTAGGGATTAAAAGTTTGTGGTCAATTTTGACCGAAATATTTTCATAAGACAGAGAAAGATAAAATTGGTATTAAAACATACATTTGATTTAGGTATAAAATAAAATGTTTTCTCCACGTGTTTTAATCATCAAAGTTGACGTAATAAAACACGTCAAACTAAAACCTTGAATTAATCGACTTTGCTACGTTATTGACTTTTTATTGGTTCATTTTCTACTTTCGTATAATACGTATTTTTATTGAAAAAAATTGAGTGGCTACAAGTCTAGGGAATACTGAAAAAATAATATTATTTCATGAAGTTGTGAACATGAAATTGGGAATTCATCAGAGGTTTGAGATGCTTTTGACACGATATGTTGTAAACGAAATGTGTTAAAATTTATTGGTTAGAATAAGGACTCAGAAACGCCAAATATGCTTTTTTATTCATCATTCATCATCAGCTCACTATACGTCCCCACCGAGGGGCTCGGAGCCTACCTTAAGTTAAGGGTGATTAGGCCATAAGCAACCACGCTGGCCCAGTGCGGGTTGGTTGACTTCACACATATCTTTGAATTTCTTCTCAGATTTTTTCCTTCACCGTAAGAACGTCAGTTAAATGTACATATGTAAATCGGAAATCGAAAAACACATTGGTCAAGTGCTTGACTCCTGAACCACCGATGCTCTTTTCGCGTTTTCGATTAGCTATTTAGCTAATTAGCGATGAAATATAGCTATAGCAATAGTAAAAGCGAAGTTGACACACTATAGTGTAGACAGCTTGCAATGTTCTGCATACATATCGTGATAGATACATTTATAAATTGCAGAAATGCGTAATTATTCGTAATATTAATGAACCTTTTAAAGTTACGTTCTCTGTACTTTAATATTCCTATTTGTACAAATGCATGAGAATATAATTTATGCATGAACACGGAATTCCCTCACTTTATGTTCACCTGTTACTAATATCTCTACGTGTCGACAATTTTGCACATTCGTAGTTGTTGCCAGAACGAAATTATTTACTCCTTTGTACTTTAAAAAAAAAAACTATTAAATTAAAACTTACTGTTTACGGATTTACGAGTAATGTTATATTTCAATAATTACAGATAGAAATATATTCGATGTTAAGATAATAAAGAAGTTAAGAATTTTTTTAGTTATTTATTTTTAAATCAGTTCGATACTTTTTTGTTATCCGAGAAGAATATATCATTTATTATATTAGCAATCATAATTATACACAAGATAATTCCACTATGCCTATTTAATATAATGAAGAAGGTAATATGTTACAGTGGAAATAATAAACAGCGTAATCTCGACCCAACATAGCTGTTGGAACTGAATATTTGATAAAGCAAATATTGTTCCTGACTCTGGACAAACACAGACCTCAGAAATAAATTGTTGAATAATTAATATTCACTTTCAGTTTGCGTTTTTCATTAGACATCCCTTAAGGTTTTGATCTAAATATTAAGGTCAATTTAAATAACTACAATAATTCGTATCGAGCTAACAATTGGTAGGGATATTCGGAACATCATTGTTGTGGAAAAAAATAATATTTAAAGACAAGCGTCGTAAAATATGTTTTTCGCGATTTTCCACGAAATGGCTCAATTCAAAAAAGACCTTACACCGAGTTGTAGATCATAAAATTACTCATAAAAATATCTACTTATGTATATAGATTCACACACCCTTACATACTTACATATGTGGTGCAGCCGGTGATATATATAAGAATTTACGATTATATATTAGAAAGTCAGTTCACATTAAAAGAATTATTTTCATACAAAAAAATTTCGTTAAACTTTTCCTTATTATTATGACCTATCTATTTTCACTTGTATCAATAATCTGATAGACTCATTATCGTGCTAACAAAATAAATAAATTTCTATAACAGAAACTGGTCAAGGCCAACCCCAGCATAAAATGTATTGAAAAAATAAATGTTCAAATAACTTTCTTTTTACGTTGAAAGATGAATGATTCATTTTTAACATTCAACGGTCTCTTTTTATAGTCGATCATTTTAAATGAGAAATATATAATAAATTAGTGCAAGAATACGAATGACAATAGAGTACAAGATTTTGTTAAAATTAAAATTATGAATATAATTTTTTCATTACTTTGTACTGAGCGGATATTCTTTTGACTTACATAAGGGGTGCGTTGGCAGTCGTTTAGTTAATGCATTAATTAATTATTATTCATCAATTAGATGGATTTTACTAATATTATAAATGCGAATGTTTAGATGGATGTTTGTTTGATGGCATGTCCAGAAGGGCTCAATGTATCACACTGAAATTTGGCATAGATGTAGAGCATTGACTGTGCGAACACTAGTTTGCGAGTTTCGAGCGACAGCTAGTTATATATATTTTTCAATAACAGAAAAAAAACACCGTTGAGTGTTTATAATGAAACACACGTACGTCTTTTCCGTTCATTTATGAAGATAAATTTGTACGCGCTTCATGGTTGTCGAAGCGATGTTACTTGTGGAATAAGATAAATTAAAGATATAAATAAAGTCCGTATTCATTGAACTGTTAAGGCGGAAATTCTTTTTCCCGTGAGCGTCTTAAGATATTGTCACATATCTCATTCTGGAACATTATCTTGCTTAATACATTTTGGGTCTTATTTAAATTGCACCAAAATTACTTTGAGGTATTAAATAAAAATTCGATTATCGAGTTTATGCTTTTAAATAAAATAATTTACCTTTTTTATCATGAGGTGCTTTTTCTCAAAGAGATAAATTTATACCTGAAGCCCTTGTAAGAAAAAGCTAAGGAAATAACATCGCAAGGAAATTGGTGTGCGTCACACACCGATTCCGCTTCTAAAATGTATAAGCCGAACACCTACATTATTAACTACATTTAGCTGATAAAATTGCTCAAGTTATCGACATGCTTGTTACTGACAGAATGTTTTATTTTCAATTACACCAAAAAGATTAACTTTTAGCGAAGAGGAATTTATAGAGCAATAGTAAGTCATTTTATTCGTATGTAAAGCTATAAAATTGTTTATAGTGGGAGCTTTTGGTGAAGGCTTTTTGTAGTAGTACTTAATGTACACATAACAGTATGTTACGAACAAAGTAACGATCCCTAAGTCATTATGTTACGTTAATGTTCTATGTAAACAAAAGTTAAATAAGAAACACATATTTTTACCAAATGATTAGCAGAAAATGTTATTTTCGTTCAGTATTTCTCTATTTGAGTAGTATTTTAAACTGAGTTTTGTAAACATACGTCGAAGTTTTGCAGTAACACCGGCTTAAATAACAAAGCAAATAATTTTAGCAGAGTAGAACTATTACGTCAAATATAATTTAGTAACCGTAAACACTTAACCAAGTGGGGGATAATTAACAATGTTGCCGTAAACTAGGAAACATGAGAAGTATGTTTGCTCTGAAATCGAAACTATTGTGAGCTTAATAAACTTGTATATCACATATAATCTAGCGTTTGTACTACTGCAATACTTTGACTCACTATACTGGAGTATAATTATAACGCAACATAACCATCTATAAGAGAGGTATGGTTACTATACTAGTCAAGAAATCCCAGTGACATCTTTTTTTTGTGACTGAGTAGTCTCTGTTTTCCTTGAAGAGGCATTTACAGTTCCACCGAGCTCGAGGTGTCCGAGCGCAGATGGCGCTTAGCCTGAACCTCGTGTGTGACATCCATTCGGACATCTGTTTATATAAACAAGTCAATAGAGTAACCGTATCCATTGATTATTCAGCGATACCCAAGCATTTTAGATACACCGGAAATGAGGACGAGAACACACAAGATATCATAGGTCAATAGACATAAAAATCAGTTTTACAAAATAATTAGTATAGATATGAAAAATAAGATATGTAAAAATTAAAATAATGACCCCAACTACTTGCAAGCTTTATAAACTTACATTAAAGGTTTTAACATTTGATTATAAACATATTAGTATATTAAATATCTTTCGATCCACTATCTATATTTCAACAGCATGGTTGATAAAGTTCTAATCGTCCCTAAGGGTAGGCTTGAGGTCGTCGGTGAAGAACGCTTACGACCTGGCGACAAATAAATGAATTCATTATGTTAAAAACATAAATAACATGAATGGAGAATGAACAAAATTGCACCATATGTTTGTGTGTGTGTGTGATGTAATGAAAACCCCCGAACAGAAAATGTACATAAAACCAGGTTTAAAAATATCTTTGTAGATTGAACGTGCTTTGTGGTAATTACAGATAGACCCGTGTTTACCTTTAGGATATTAAAACTGACCTGCTCTGATGATATTTGCTTTATTTCATTACAATGTTAATTTGTATTTTATTTTATTTACATGATAAATGTAAAGTTATGTATGTACATCAATACGCAGTCCTCCGCTTTCCACATCAAGCGGCTTCCTGTTGATGTTTCTTTTATTTTAAATAAATAGTTGCTTGATTAGTGATTTCTTTACATATCTTACTAATATTATAATTAAGAATGTATGATAGGATGGAAGGATGGATGTATCTCCAAAAAGGCTGCATGAATCTCGCCGAAATTTGGCATAGATTTAGAGCATTGTGGGGATAACACGTAGGCTGCTAATAATATTTTTTTTTTAAATTCCGCGCGGCCGGAGTCGCGGTTGACAACAATTTTTGTAAAACCGTCACATTGCTGGACGTAATGTAATGTCACGCTAAGCTTAAAATACTCTTTTGTATTATGTGCTACGTATCTTGAGCTTCTGAATTTATTTTATCATATAAAATTCTAAGATGTTCTACAAAAACGTTAGAAAATTTTCTTTCTCATATCATATTAAAATATACCTATGTGTTGTACTAGCTACCGCTTTTCAAGGTAATCCTAGTGGATTTCGATTGGATATTGGTAGTGAGGATTAACGTGATTGGAATACATTAACGTTACCCAAAAAATAATTATATTACAAATATTATGATAAGATTTAATGATGATTGTAATCGTGATGTCCATTTTTATATCACATTTTCTGATGTCGATGTCCTAGAATATAATTTTATATATTCAGAGGGTAAGTAATCGATGGCTAAGTATTCTCCCTGCAAAAAATTCGTTATAACATCCTGTATAATGTCAACTCAATGTCTATCGTGGCCAAAGTTTACCATTTTATTGAATATTTTTTTTTTCGGTTTGTCTATGTTCTCAAAATCATCCAATTTTTTTTTATTACTATTCGTTATGTCAAAAAATAATTTGTATTAAATGGTATACCCGAATGGCGACATCAAAAACTTACTGTTAGTAAAATACTTATTGTATTAAAGTTTAGAAAACATAAGGCTATAAAGATCATTATGTTTGCTGGCAATGGCTCATGTTTATTGGCAGTAACAATCAGCAACGTTTGCACTAAGAAAAATTTTCAAACTAATTAACCCATGCCCAAGAGTGTGGATCCCATTTTAATTTTCTTTTTTCTCTTTTTCATAAAGATGGGCAAAGATGGCCTTTTTTTTTCAGAGGGGAATGCTTTATGCATACTCCGCGCCCCGGGGTCGACGCTATAGTTATGTGGGATGCTCTTCCGGATGGGAAACATACCTACTAAACCCCTCTGTTCCTCCTACGCATCATGGCGAGGCCACGGGCACGCTTGCGCTTTCGTCTGCGACCTCGCCTGCGTCAGTTGCCGAAGCAGCTCCCACTATGGGAGAGGTCATACCTTCAGCCTCAGGCTCTGGGTAAAGATGGCCTGATCTAATGTGGAAATTTCAAAAAGTTCGTTATTTAAAAATTATGAGCCCATTATTCATAAAATCAAATTTTCTTTTAAAATACTAGAACTCACAGATAACGTTACCAGAATGCCATTGTACAATTCCTAGAAAGACAAATCATTGTTTTGCATATTAACTTTATTTCGTTTAAATATTGAGACACAATAGTAGACACGTAAACACATAACTACTTCTTTAACACTATGTTTCAATCGAAGATATAATAAAATATATTTTTGTCGCTTATTATTCGATAATATACGTCATCAAAATACACATAGAATCTGAATACCTATTTTTAATATATGAATTACAAATATCAATTGCATTCTTAAGCATATTATCTAGTGATTTCGATACATATACATATTTCGTAAATCTTATTTGAAAGAAATCTTTTAAATGTAGGATTACCTCTGGTACCTATTTTTTATTTTATTAACAATTGGCTAAATATCTAAGTAAATTTTTTTTTCGACTAAACTGCGGCTTGCTTTTCACATGGCTAGTCATCTTTGAGTATTGCTCTTGCGGCTTTGAGTGCACAAAATATTATTTATTTACAATATTTCTATGAAAATCACATACCTTTGTACATAAATAGATCATTTTTATTGTATTTATTCAGGTAAAGTATAAACACAAAAAATATTAAATCTTCTTATTTATAAACATCTTTGTAATGATTTCAAGTTGAACTGGCGATAGGAATTGTAATTAGTAGTTTGCATCACAAAGAAAGTATGGATGGATTGTGTAAAAGAGTAGGAAGGAAGTTTTAGATGTGGCTGATAGAGATTTATGGAGGAGTAGTACATACAGTGTCGAGCCTCTGTAACGGGGCAGGTTGATGATGATGATGTAGTTTGCACACACAACAAGAAAGTATTGTTTTAATTAGAGTTAAACTTGTATTAAATATATACTGAAACATAAGGACTCCGAGACATACGGTCCTTAAGTAACCTGGGATCATTGTACGATAAGAATTATACAGAGCTTATTTCTTTTAGAACGCCGATTTAGTTTGAAGAAGAGCCAAACTCGAAAATTGCGGCGAGATAGAAGTGGCTAGAAGGTAGTTTGAGACTAGGGACAGAAAGAGGTTGGAACAGCTGCCTGCACTCCGCTTCCGTAGGCAGCCGGTAACGTGCCAACAACCTTAGCCTGCTGTCGTGACTGAAGAATATATAGTCAAAGTTTTTCCAATTTGCGAAGAATAACGTGGTTACCTCGCGGCTGCCATTTTTTTTGCGGTGAGCATAGACGGAGTGAAAGCTGAAAGGATGTTCTAATTCACTGAAATATGGTAAACATTTGTCCCATGCGTTCAAAGGCCCCTCCATTCGTGGCGGATTTTCAGGGTGAAAATTTTGCATTTCAGTTCCATTTATCTTAGTTTTACTGACGGAAACGTGACCATTAGTGATGAACTGGATGACAGAGGAGTTGTGCTGTGCGCCCATGCAACCAGTTAGTATTATTGGATGGTATCCTTGTAGATGACCATTGTTAGCAAAACGTTCCAAGTGTGCGAGAAATATCTGTAACTGCGCGAGGCGCACGTAGTCGCTCCTGAAGCTGATGCAGAGACGCGTCGTGGCGACGATAAGCGGCAAGGCGGAAGCGCGCGCGTCGCGTAATACCAGACGTACTGCCAGCCCGACCTCGTGTCGGCATAAAATTGTAAAAAACGCATGATTAAATTCCACAAAAATATGATCCTCCATATGAAAAACTGAATTTTTAAAGTAAATCGCGCAGCCATCGTCTTCGTTACCAGTTCTTTTTTTATACAGACAACTGTAGCCCATAACTTCAAACTTTGAATAGATACTTGCAATATGTGTTTCTTGAACTTCTTGGAGGCAGAAAATGTCAGGATCTAAAGTGACGATCTGATCAAATAAACGTTGCGCTATTACATCCCACGGAAACTTTTCTGCCTCGACTAAATATTGCGCCCGAACATTGTACGAAAGTATTTTAAATGTCAACCTTTTTTCAATATCACGAATATTCCATTTTCCTATTCGTTCCCATGTTCTAAGTCTGCGTTTTTTTCCTTTTTTGGTCTCCTTCAATGGCACCTGTTCT